CCCTAACCCTAGCTAGGGCTCTCCAATGCCTGGGGTCCAGAAGCAATGTAAGATCACTCAGCATAGAACCTGGAACATCACCAAGTCATTTCCAAGGCCCGACTACAGGTGCTCGAGAGAATTCCTGAGGACTAACTGACGAGTGGTCCATAGAATTGTATGGTCTGGGACCCAAAGACTAATCCTGACTGGCACCCTCCCTTGTGCCCTCAACTCAGCCTTTCAGGGAGACAACTGCACTGCTGTGGGTTCAGTGCAGGGAGAATCCTGGGACCTAACCCTAACCCTAACAAGAACCCTCAACAGAAACCTAACCGTATCTCAAACCATAACCCATGACTCACACCGTTGCATGGGCCCTCAATTCAGCCCTTGAGGGAGATCACGAGACTGTAGTCACTTCGGCCCTGGTGTCGTCTCTGGACCAAACCCTACCCTAATTAAGGCTCTCTCCCCATAATGACCCATAGCAAACTGACAACACCACATGCCTGTGGTCAAGAAGCGGTGCAGGATCACTCAGCATAGAATCTGGAATATCACCATGTCATTGCCAAGGCACGGTGGCAGCTGTCGAGAGTATTTCTGAGGCCTACCAGAACACTGGCCCACACTGTTGTCTGGCCTTGGAATCCAAAGACTAATCCTGAGGGCACCCTCCCTTGTGCCCTCAATTCAGCCCTTCAGGGAGTCAACTGCACTGCTGTGGCTTCAGCACCTGGAGCCTGTTGGGACCTAACGCTAACCAGAACCCTCAACCAAAACCTAACCCTATCTCGAAAACTAACCCTACACTTGAGCCACCCCATCGCATGGGCCCTCACTTCAGCCCTTGAGGGAGGTCAAAAGACTGGAGTTGCTTTGGCCCTGGCGACGTCCCTGGACCAAAACCTATTACGAGCTAAGATTCTTTCCCAATGGGGACCCACTACCAAAGTCTGACAACACCAAGTGCCTGGGGTGCAGAAATGGTGCAGGATCACTCACCATATGATCTGGATCATCACCATGTCATTTCCAAAACCCAGCTGCAGCTATCTGAGAGGATTCCTGATGCCTACCCAACCAGTGGCCCATAGAGATGTCTGGCGTAGGAACCCAAAGACTATTCCTGACCACCACCCTCCCTTGAGCCCTCAACTCAGCCCTTTAGGTAGACAACCACACTGCTGTGGGTTCAGTGCCTGGAGCCTCTTTGGACCTAACCATAACCCTAACCCCAGCCAGAACTGCCAACCAAAACCTAACCCACTCTCAAACCCTAACTGTACACTTGACCTGTACCATCACACAGGCCCTCACTTCAGCCCTCAAGGGAGGTCACGAGACGGGAGTTCTTTCAGCCCTGGTGATGTCCCTGGACCAAACCCTAACCCTAGCTAAGGCTCTCTCCCCATGGGGACCCAATACCAAAATCTGACAACACCACGTGCCTGGGGTACAGAAGCTGTGCAGGATCACTCTACATAGAACCTGGAACATCACCATGTCATTTCCAAGGCTGGGCTTCAGGTGCTCAAAAGTATTCCTGAGGCCTAATCGACCAGTGGCCCATAGAGTTGTCTGGCCTTGGAACCCAAAGACAAATCCTGACCGGCACCCTCCTTTGTGCCCTCAACTCGGCCCTTTGGAGAGACAAGTGCACTGCTATGGGTTCAGCGCCTTGAACCTCCTGGGAACAAACCCCGAACCCTACTCCTAACCCTAATCAGAAACCTCAACTGAAACCGAAACCTAACTCGAACCCAAACCCTACAATTGCTCCGCATCGTCCTATTGGCCCTCACTTCAGACCTCGAGGGAGATGAAGAGACTGGTTTCGCTTGGAGCTGGTAACGTCACTGGACTGAACCCTAACCCTAGATAAGGCTCTCTTGTCATTGGACCCAATAACAACGAATGACAACACCACACGCCTGAGGAACACAAGCGGTACAGCATCACTCTGCATAGAACCTGTAATATACTATGTCCTTTTGAAGGACCAGCTGAAACTCTAGAGAGATTGCCAGAGGGCTACCCGCCTAGTGGCCCATACAGTTGTCTAGCCTTGGAACTCAAAGACTAATCCTAATCAGCACCCTCCAGTGTGCCTTCAAATTAGACTTTCAGGGACACAAATGCAATGATCTGGATTCAGCGCCTGGTGTCTCCTGGAACAAAACTTTAAACCTATCCCTAAACCTAAGCAGAACCCTCAAGAGAATCCTAACACTATCTCAACCCTAACCCTACAGTTGACACGCACTGTCGCAGGGGTTCTCAATTCAGCCCTGGAGAGAGATCACGAGACTGGAGTCGCTGCGGCCCTGGCAACATCCTAGGCAAACCATAACCCTAGTTAAGGCGCTCTACCCATGGGGACCCAATAGCAAAGTCTGACAAAACCACACACCTGTCGTCCAGAAGCGGTGCAATATCACTCAGCATAGTACCTGGAACATCACGATGTCATTTCCAAAACCTGGCTGCAGCTGCCCGAGAAGATTCCTGAGGCCGACCAGACCACTCTCCCAAACAGTTGTCTGGGTTGGAAACAAAAGACTAATCCTGACAGGCACCCGACCTTGGAACCTCAAATAAGCCCTTCTGGGAGACAACTGCAATGCTGTGGGTTCAGTCCTGCAATGTCCTAGGACCTAATCCTAAAGTCTAACCCTAACCCTAACACAAACCCTAACCTTAATCCAACCCTAAATCCTATCCCTATCCCAAACCATGACACTAACCCTACCCTAGCCCAAACCCCAACCGCAACCATAATACTAACCCGAAACCCAACACTGTAACCCTGAACCCTAAACCCCAAATCCTAACCCAAATCCTAACTGTAGCCATAAACTTAAACTGTAAACCTGAACACTAAACTCTAACCCTAATCCCTAAACCATAATTCCTAAACACTACCCCTAAACCAAACACTAACCCTGACCTAACCATAAATCCTAACCATTAACACCAAACCCCAAAAACCTAACCCCTACCCCAAACCCTAAACTCCAAACAATAAACCTTAAATCCTATCACCTATCCCCTGACCCTGACACTACCCTGACTGTGACCCTAACCCTTAAACTAATACTGACACTAACCCTAACACCTAAGCTCTACCCTAACTCTAACCATCACCCCAACCCTAACCCCTAAACCCTAAACCTAACCTTCACCATAATCCTACCCTTTTAACTCTAACCATCTAAACCTAACCCTAACCCCTAACCGCTAACCCTAACCCCTAACCCTAATCCCATGGACAGTCCTTCATCACCAGTCATGGGCTATGAACCACCCCCCCACCTCCTCTTTTGGGCAGATAACCTGAAGTGGATTAGGGATTTGTAAAGCATATTCATCTACTTCGTGAAACACTTTGTGGGAAAAATGTAGAGATGGTTGTTAGGGCTTGGAATTCAACTGCAAAACTGCCTGAGGACTTTGTAACATATCTCAAGTTTCTCAGGACATATGTTCAATAGACTGTATCATTTCCCTGTAATGAGGTCAGCTTTAGGTTTCTCTTGTCAAAAAGAAAGAGAACTTTTACACAAAGACAGATGTATCGAGCGTACTGGTGCATGTTTTACAGACAGTGTTTTCAGTTCTGTGAAGGATGGGATGCACTCCTAAGTGTAGGTGTATTTGGTATCCTGTGGGAAATGGGGCACATGCATTATATGACACAGACCTTGTGGTGACCATAATGGAAGCACCAGTGAAGGAGTGGGGGAAACTTGAATCACACAGGAATAGAAATTTGAGGAATTTGAGGGCAGTAAGCAGAGTTTGAGGAAGTGCAGAGGGGAGGGTCCTGGGTTCAGTGAGATGCAGTTGCAGCCCATTCCTGACTACAGCCTGAGCAGGGAGCATGAGTTCCACATGGAGCTGCTATGTGGGATCACTCTCAGTGCACAATGCAAGGTTCCTCTCCAAAATGTCATATTTGTCAAAGTGCACCTAGGTGATCATCTAAAAAGTTTGTTGTCTCCCTGCTGAAGGTTCTGGATATTTATGGGTGAAAAAATGCCCTGGATATAGAGGAAACTTAACTTGGTCTTAAGGAAATGCTTGTCTGCCTAAGTTTATATCCTTCAGTGAGACTAAAAGTGAAGACAGGATCTAGATCAGCTCAGTGCCTGCATTGGCCTTCAGCCTGGGTCAACCTGCAATTCAGGGATGCCCAGATGCTACCCCTGCTGGACCCCTGACATCACCCTGACTACAGCTGTGCATCTATCTCCTTAAACTTCTCTCACAATATCCCGAGGGTTTCCCTGTGTTCCTGCTGTCTCAGCCGGAATACCAATTCTCAGTGGGACCTACACAGAGCCTGAGCTGTGTTATTTGTGAAAGAGGGGTAATATTTATTTCTAGGGACATAATGAAAAGAAGACATTGAATACAGAATGCATCTGCAAAATATCTGGGAAATGTCCACTCACCCTTCTCACAGTTTCAATTAAGATATCTCCACACAAATGATCATCAAAAAAAGATGGTCACAGAAGTTCGTTAAACTAAGACAGTTAACGCCTCAGCCCAGGGATTGGGGATCGCCACTTTAAAGAAGAAGACAATGACACACTTATTCTATTAAGATTCAGGCCCTACCAAAGAAAGAAAAAGATAATTACGAGAATGTGTATATCAGAGTTCTACATCTGAGATATGAGACAATCATATTCCATTACATATAGACTTGCAGATGCATCCACACACTAAAGTGCTCATCTGAGGCCACAGATTAAGTACCAAAGAGGGAATGCATGTAGGAAAACATAAGACCATAGGGAAATAACCCCAAATTTCATAAATCTCACTGCCTTATACGACAACTATTTTGAAATTTGAAGAGGACTGTGTGAGGTGACAGAGTATGGTGACTATCTATCTTAAAAATGTGTCAGATCTGCCTGCATGCTTTCTCTGCCCACCCAGTGCTCTCCACTTTGTTTTTCTTAGTATCCCTTAATAGTACTTTCACTGTTCTGTCTCTGTTTCAGTGTTTGCTTCTAGGAGGACCTACTCTCACCCCCCATCGAATGCACACAGTGCGGTTCCTATACACACAGGTAACAAACTAGCAGAAATTGCAGTGATGGAGGATAGTAGCAAGATCGCCCTGTTTGCAGAGGAGCCTGACAGAGTTTTATGGGGTGATGGTAACTTGCTATATCTAGATGCATGGGGTGCTTGTGCTCATTTATTTTAGAAATATTCACTGACTCCTGGTGCTTGGGGTCAGATAGACAGGTACCTGGCCCTAGCATATGGCTGATTTCTAATGGTGGGTAAGGATCAGGGACCAGCAGTGACTGTGGGAGATGAGTGAGGAGGCCACACATGGAGTCAGATCCTCCCTCAGGATGCTATGTCTCACGGACAGCAACCTCGTGCAGGAGGGCTCTGAGGATCACATATTTCTTGATCAGTCCTGTGAACTGCATAATCCTACTCCAGATTTCTCACTGAGGGATGGACAGGGCAGAGGCCAGCAGCTGGAGGACACCTTGATCATGGCTGGAGTGGAACAGTGGGCCTGGGAGATTGAGTCAGAGAAAGGGAAAGGCAGAAGATAGTGGCAAGGATTTTGAGAGATAAAGGGAAGAGGAGAGAAGGCAATGTTTTCTACTGACTTCACCCACATTTCTGTGTGAACAAAAGGAGATTCTTGTCTCGCAGGGAAGGGAAGAGGGCTGGCAAAAAGACAGAGTGACAGTCTCAGCTCAAGTGCTCAGGATATCTGCCTTGATCTTGAATACATATCACAGGAAGCCTGTGCATTCTGTCATAAGTGGAACTGCAGCTCATACCATTTAGTGAAAATTAAAGCGATGATGAAGACCTCATCATTAAAGTATTGCAATGAGAGTATGTGAACATACAGAGAGATACAACAGAAGCAAAAGTCCAAGGGTAAACTGACTGCAAAACTTATGGGAATATAGACTATTGGAAAAGGAGATACCCCAATGCCAGCTTTCAGACACCTGGACAATATGTGAAAACGTGGAAAAAAAAGTAGTCCTTACTTCAAAAGCAACATTAGCATTAGACACAAAGGGATCGTGATGGAAGGTTTAGGGAGAAACCATATGATTTCATGGTGCTGTACCCATGGTCCTGTACCCTCAATCTCATCAAATTATACCCTTTAACTTGAGGCTTTGTTATATGTAAGTATACCTCATTAAAGAGAGTTTCAAAACATAAAATAATAGAAGCAAATGTGGGAAAGCTCCTTTCCAATCATAAAGTGCATGTGTGATATGAGTCTGTCTTCCCATGTCTCAAAAATCCAAAATAATAAGACATTTAAAAAATTAATAATAGCAAAGTAAGAGGACCCTGAGCTCACCCTGTCCCATGTTTTCAACTGCATAACATCCACATCCAAGTCCAGGAAGCAGAGAGCGATCCAAAGACTGGCAGAACAAACTCCACACCTAAGTAGAGAGAAGCTGCATCACAAAGGTTAGGAATGTCAGAAAGGTGGAGGCTGTCTGCCTGCAGAGGGGGCAGAAAAAGTGAGCCCTCACACCAGGGAGGTCACACAGGGAAGACTAATCTCCATAACATTGGGCATTAAAACTTAGAGGGGATGAATACCTTTGCGTTCAGATCCTGGAGCTTTGGAGGTCAGCTGACCCAGCACTGGGAGATCCAGGAGGATGAGTGATAGCCAGATCCCTGCCTGTGTAGAGAGGCAATGTAAACATGGCATTTTACACAATGCCAAGGGAACAGGAGACATATGTATTCATGCTGATTCCTAAGTGTGTTGGAGGACTTCTCCAACAATGAGGGAGCTCACAGGCACCAGTCTTCTCCTCCAGCCTCCCAGAATAAGCATAGAAGCACCCACAAGAGGGTGAGGCTGCACAGACTCTTGCTAACTAACCCATTAGCAGTGTGCCAGTCCCAAGGTTCACTAGGGGACTCACCAAACCAAGCCTGCTGGTCTCAGGGCAAACATTTTTCAAACCACAAGGTCACCCTGTCTGACAAGCTGCATGCATAGCTGCCACAGCAGACTGTGAACATCTGCACCTCACCCAGCTGTACATATCCAGGTACCCTCATCTGTCTCACTAAGCCACATGTCCTCAGGCACAGACATGCTCTGTGCATATCCTCAAGCCCCTAGCTTCCACCGCTGGTCCACAACCCCTAGGCACCAAAGGACATCGGGAAATATGGCATAGGACTAGTAGCCCTGTGCGATTTTGCTAACACTCCTGTCCTGTGCCCAAGTTATCCAGTGGGCATACCACCCCACAGCTGGCCTGCCTGGGTCCCACTAACACCACTGAGATAAAGCACAGCCCACAACAGGCAGACACCTGCAGTGCAGGTGCAGACACCTGCACTAAAAGGAAAAGTAACCCAGACACAGCAGCAGGCCGTGAACAATACCTATACGATAGCCTCCTGAAGGTCCAGGTCTTATAAACGGAGATGTGCGCTGCTGAGGTCTCCAGGATCTCTTCTTCATAACGTTATTAGTTTCAAGAGCAGAAGGTACAGCTGACTTTCTTAACACAGAGAAATAGAGACAGAGAGACAGACAAAATGGACACACAGAGATGTTTATCCACAATGAAAGACCTAGTCAAAGCCACAGCCAGAGATGTAAGCCAAAGAGATGTAAGTAACATACCTGATACAGATTTGAAAGCAATGATCATAAGGATACTCATTAGAGTTGTGAAATGAGTAGAAGAGTGAGACCCCTGACTAGAGATAAGAAATAATACAGTAGACATTGAGGACACAATAAAGGAGAGAGAAGCATGCTGGAACTAACAGAGGGATGGAAGACGCAGAGAAACAAACCAGTGACCTCGAAGACTGAGTAATGGAAATTAATCACATTGAACCAAAGAGAGAGAACAGAATTCTGCAACGTGAGATGAGACTAAGGGAACTCAGTGACTATAGCAAAGATAACAATATTGATATTGTAGGAGTCTCAGAAGAAAGAGAAAAGGGGGCAGAAAATTTATTTGTGGAAACAATAGCTGAAAAATGCCCTAATTGGGGGAGGAAACAAACATCCTCATCCAGGAGGCTAGAGAATTCACATCAAAATGAACAAAATCAGGCCAACATCCAGACATATTGTAAGCAAACTTGCAAATTACAGTGACAGTAAAGAAAAACTCTTAAAAGCAGCAAGACAAAGAGACCTTCACTTAGAAGGGAAGACCCATAAGGCTAGCTACCAGATTTCTGAACAGATACTTGGCAAGCCAGAAGCAAGTGACATCACATATTCAAAGTGCTGAATGGAAAAATCAGCAGCCAAGAATACTGTATCCAGCAAGTCTATCATTCAAAATGGAAGGAGACACAGACTTACCCAAACAAAAACTAAAGGTGTTTGTACCACTAAACCAGTCCTGCAAGAAATATTAAGAGGGACTCTTTGAGTGGAAAGGAGAGACCAAAAGTGACAGTATAGAGGTAAAAGACACAAATCAAGTAAAACATGAATATTTCTGTAAAAAATAGTTAAGGAACTCAGACATATGGATTTGAAATATAATAACATCTACCAAAAACCTAGGGAGGAGAACATAATGGGTTTCAAGGTAAATGACCATCAGCTTAATACAAACTGCTAAACGCAGAAGAGGTTATATAAATAACCCAGCAGTAACCATATATCAAAAACCAGTCACAAATATGCTAAGAATAAAGATAAATAAATTAAAATATTTCACTAAAGAAAATGAGCAAAACATGAAAGACAGACAAGAAAGTATTGGAGAAAATCATTAGAAACAACAAGAAAATGGGTAATAAAATGGCAATACATACATACATATCAATCTTTTCTTTGAAGGTAAATGGAATGAATGCTCCAATCTAGAGACATAGGGTGTAAGAACGGATGAAAAAACAAAAGCTGGAGTAGCAATACTTGTATCAGAAAAAATACACTTAAAGTACATAACAAGAGACAGAGGAGGATGTTATATAACAGTAAAGGGTACAGTCCAAAAGGAGATATAACAACTGTAAATATATCCCACAATTAAGTGGGATTTATTCCCAAGCTGCAAGGGTCGTTCAGTATTTGCAAATCAATCAATGTGATACAATATATCAACAGGAGAAAGGATAAGAACTATATGATCAGGGCACCTGGGTGGCTCAATCCTTTAGCAGTCCGTCGTCAGCTCAGCTCATGACCTCACGATTCGTGAATTCAAGTCCCACATCGGACTCTGTGCTGAAAGCTCAGAGCCAAGAGCCTCCATCGAACTCTGTATCTCCCCCACTCTTTCTGCCCGTTTCCTGCTCACACTCTGTCTCTCTCAAAATTAATAAACGTTAAAAGAAAAGAACCATACGGTCATTTCAATACATGAATAAAAAGCATTTGACATACTACAACATCCTTTCATGATTATAACCCCCTAAAGTAGGTTTACAGGGAACATACATCAATGTAATATATGTTTTCTATGAAAACCCTGCAGCTATAATCAATCTTAATGGAGAAAATCTGAGAGCTTTTCCTATAAGGTCAGGAAAAAGACAAGGATGTTTACTCTTACCACTTTTAATAAACATAGCACTGGGAAGTCCAAGCTACAGCCAGCAGATAAATCAAACGAAATGAAATCAAACAAAACAACATAAATTAAATTAAATTAAATTAAATTAAATTAAAGTAAGGTAAAGTAAAGTAAAAGTAAAAGAAAAACTAATCCAAATCTGTAAGAAGTGAATCTTTCACACTTTGCAGATTACATGACACTATATATAGAAAACCCTAAAGAGTCCACACAATAACTGCTAGAAGTGATAAATGAATTCAAAAATTTCACCGGATACAAAATCATTGTACAGAAATCTGTTGCATTTCTAGACAATAATGAAGCAGTAGAGAGAGAAATTAAGAAAACAGTCCCATTTACAGTTGTACACCAAATAATAAGGTATCTATGAATAAATCTATCCAAGCTGGTGAGCGACCTATACTCTGAAAATTATAACACAGTGATGAAAGAAATACAAGATGACACAAAAAAATGGAAGGATATTCCATACTCATAGATCGGAAGTACAAATTTCATGGAAATGTCTATACTTCCCACAGCAACTGACACAACTAATGCCAGCGCCATCAAAATAGCAACAACATTTTTCATAGAACTAGAACGGTCCTAAAATTTGTACAGAACCACAAAAGACCCAAATCTTCAGAGTAAACAAACTTTATGTGAAGTGATAATTATGGATGGAACTATGCCTCTGGATCTTCTGCTCCAAAACACAGGAGTCAGCCTAAGCATTTGAACAAACGTTAGACATATCCCAAATTCTACAAAATACATTCTACAAAAGTACCCTCAAAACTTTGCAGATTATGAAAAATATGGAAAAATCTAAAAATCGTCATGAGCAAGTGGAGCCTAAGGAGACAGGATGACTGTAATGTGCCAGCTGGGATGAGTCTGAAACAGAAGAAGTTAAAACCAAAGCAATATGAATACAAATATAAAATTAGTTAATACTACCATATCTCTTCGGGATATTGATTGTGATCATGTATCAACTTAGAGGACATCAATAGTCAGAAAACACTCTGATGTGTGTGGAGACTCAATAATATCTTCCCAATTTTTCTGGTAACTAGAAACCCATCACGATTGAAAAGATTATTAGTAATCATGATTTTATGTTTT